TCTATGATAAAGCTGCTATAAACATCCAAGTACAGGTGCTTATGTGGACATATGTTGTCATTTCTCTTACATACCTAGGAGTGGGATTGCTGGGTCATGTGCTAAGTGCATATTTAGCATTATAAGTCAATGCCAACTATTTTCCAAAGTGGATGTGCCATTTTGCATTCTCACCAACAATAGTAAGATTTTCATTTGCTCCACATTCTCTCCAGCTACAGATACTTTTGTGCGATCTGTTTTTAAATGTGATCCATTCTAGTAGGTATGTAGTGGTAACTCATTGTGGTTTTAATTTGCATTTATCTAATTACCAATGATATTGAATATCTTTTCATATTTGTATTTGCCATCTGGTATATTCCTTTGCCCTAAAGAAATTCCTTTGGCAGTTTCTCCACTATGGGTTGACTGTCAATGGCTTCATTCAGCCTTTGTTTTTAAAAACTTTATTTCACCTTCATTTTTTATAGTAATTTTTGCTGGATATTGATTTCTGTGCTGACAGCTTTTTTCCTTCAGTACTTCAAAGATGTTGCTCCATATTCTTGTGAGCTGTATAGTTTCTAGAGATGTCTGCTCTATGTTTATTCCCCTGTATGTAATATTTTCCCCTTCGCTGCTTGCCTTCAAGATTTTATCTTTGTTTTTGGTTTTCAACTTTTTTTGTTTTTTGTTTTGTTTTGTTTTGAGACAGGGTCTTGTTCTGTCACCCAGGCTAGAGTGCGGTAGTGCAATCATGGCCCACTGCAGCCTTGACATCCTGGGCTCAAGCAATCCTCCTGCCTTAGCCTCCTGAGCAGCTGGGACTACAGGCATGTGCCACCATACCCAGCTACGTTTTGAATTTTGTGTAGAGACAAGGTCTCTCTATGTAACCTAAACTGGTCTTGAACTCCTGGGCTCAAGCAATCTTCTTGCCTTGGCCTCCCAAAGTGCTGGGATTACAGGCATGAGCCACCATGCCCAGACTGGTTTTCAGCATTTAACTATGATGTGTCAGATGTCTCTCTTTGTTTGTTACTTGGTTTCTTTCTTCTTCTTCCTCTTCCTTTTTTTTTTTTTTTTTTTTGCTTTTGTTTTAATTTTTTGTTGGTTTGCTTGGGTTTGCTGAGATTCTTGGGTCTGTAGTTTGTCACCTTGTATTGATTTTGGAACATTTTTCACCATTATTTCTTCAAATATTTCTTCTGCTCCATTCTTATTTTCTTCTTTTGGCACACCAGTTACACATATGTTAGACCATTTGATGTTGTCCTATAGCTGTTGGGTGCTCTGTTCTCTTTGTTTCATTTTGTTTTCTCCTTTGTTTCATTTGGGGATAAATTCTATTGACCTGTCAAGTTTATTGATTCTTTCCTCAGCTATGTCTAGTCTGCTGATAAGCCTACCAAAGGAATTCTTCAGTGGTTGTTTCAGCTGCACATATACTAAAATTGGAACAAAACAGAGGAGATTAGCATGGCCCCTATGCAAGGATGACATGCAAGTTCATGAAGCATTCTATAATTAAAAAAAAAAAATTTGGCTGGGCGCGGTGGCTCAAGCCTGTAATCCCAGCACTTTGGGAGGCCGAGGCGGGTGGATCACGAGGTCAAGAGATCGAGACCATCCTGGTCAACATGGTGAAACCCCGTCTCTACTAAAAATACAAAAAAATCAGCTGGGCATGGTGGCGTGTGCCTGTAATCCCAGCTACTCAGGAGGCTGAGGCAGGAGAATTGCCTGAACCCAGGAGGCGGAGGTTGTGGTGAGCCGAGATCACGCCATTGCACTCCAGCCTGGGTAACGAGAGCGAAACTCCGTCTCAAAAAAAAAAAAAAAAAAAAAAATTCATCACCAATATTATTTGATTTCCAGTAGTCTTTTTTTTTTTTTTTTTTTTTAAAGAGACAAGGTCTTAGTTTGTCGCCCAGGCTGGAGTACAATGGTGCAATCAAAGCTGTCTGCAGCCTTGACCTCCTGGGCTCAAGTGATCTTCCTCCTTCAGCATCCTGAGTAGCTGGGACTATAGGCACACACCACCATGCATGGCCAATTTTAAAATTTTTGTAGAGATAGGTTCTCACTGTGTCACTCAGGCTGGTTTTGAACTCCTAGCCTCAAGAGATCCTCCTGCCTTGGCCTCTCAAAGTGTTGGGATTACAGGCATTAGCCACATGCCTCGCCTCCAGTAGATTCTTTACTGTATTCATCGTGTAATCTCTGTCTGATAATTCTAGCATCTGGGTCATTATTGAGTCTAGTTCTGTAGATTGTTTTATCGCTTAACAATAAGTCTTTCCCCCCTCCCACCCTTGCTTTTATATGTGTGTTGTAATTTTTTTATTGAATGTCATACACTATGTATAGAAGAACACTAGAGGCTGAGATAGTGTTTACACTTGGGCAGATCTGCGTAGTGTAGGGACTGAGCCAAGCTGTCAGAGGTTGAGCTGGGTTGTTTCTGTCACTACTCTCAATGCACATCAGGCTTTAAATTCCTCCTGCTATCAGCTTGTGCTTAGTGTGAAGCCTAGGGTACCCATGTGTTTTCCTCAGTAGTGCTGTTCCATCCTCAGCTTTGAGGTGTTCTTACATGCCTGTGCCAAAGAGAGCTCTTTCTCCACCCTCTTTCCCTTCCTCATTGGTAGGCTATTGCTGCTTGTTACCTGGCTGTACTCATGGTGAGGTCATGGGGCTAGTTCTTGGTTGTCCTGCCCTGTCCTCACTCTTAGACAGGATATGAAAAGGCCACCAGCCTGAGGTCTTGTTAGCATTCCCATTCCCTTCTCTCCCTGGCAGCCAAGCACTGCCTTGTGTCTGTGGTAGATCTTGGAAAAGAGAATTTCCTGCCCTCCCTCCAGGAGTAGTAGAGCTCTACTTTGCATTGGCTGCAGGATCTTGGGCTCAAGAGGGCTCAAGGTGGGCCAGGTGTGGTGGCACATGCCTGTAATCCCAGCACTTTGGGAGGCTGAGGTGGGCGGATCATGAGATCAGGAGATCAAGACCATCCTGTCCAACATGGTGAAACCCTGTCTCTTCTAAAAATACAAAAAACTAGCTGGGCGTTGTGATGTGCACCTGTAGTCCTGAGTGCTCCAGAGTCTGAGGCAGGGGAATTGTGTGAACCCAGCAGGTGGAGACTGCAGTGAGCCAAGATCACGCCACTGCACTCCAGCCTGGCGACAGAGCAAGACTCCGTCTCAAAAAAAATAAAGGGTAGGGGCTCAAGGCAACCAGGGACCAATGGCTTTTGCTTCTGCTCTTCCTCCAGAAGCAGTGGATCTTCACCTGGTTACTTTAACAGGAAGGAGAATTTCTCCCTCCCTCCCCCAGAGGCAAACAGATTTTGCTTCTGCCCGTTTTCAGTGGCCCTAGGAGTAAGAGGATTTGCTTCCCTTCTCCTAGCAGCTGAAGGCTTTTACTTTCTTTGAGAGGAGAGTCCCCTCCTGCAGGTACAAAGAGGAGGAAGTGGGCAGTATTTCATGCCTGTCCCTCAGTGGCAGCCTGTCACCTCCTGCACACTCATGCCACCCAGGGGGACTGTGGTTTGCTGCCCAACCCAAGCCACTTGTGAGAGCATTGAGTGGAGTCTGTGCAGAAAAGCTCCCAAGTGAGTGCAAAATGCCCCTTGTGTCTGGGACTCCCAGTTGCCCTAAAGCTGAGACACTCACTCACTCTCAGCCTTTAAGAGTTTGTTAAAATTTTAGTGCTTTCTGGTTACTTCTCTGGCAGTCACCTCTTCCTTCTGTCTTCTCTCAAAGACTAAACTATTTGTGTGGCCTGACTCTCCTTGGTGGGACTTTGATTTTGTAGAATTAAGTTCCCCTGGTTGTCACGAGACCTCAGCTTTCTGAGTTTTAAACTTTTTCTCATTGTTAGGCTAGAAGCAGCATTCGCTTGTTGATATTGTTTTGAGATGGAGTCTCGCTCTGTTGCCCAGGCTGGAGTGCAATGGCGTGATCTTGGCTCACTCAGCCTTCTCTTCCTGGGTTCAAGCGATTCTCCTGTCTCAGCCTCCCTAGTAGCTGGAACTACAGTCGCACGCCACCATGCTCAGCTTATTTTTGTATTTTTAGTAGAGACAGGGTTTCACGATATTGGTCAGGCTGGTCTCAAACTCCAGACCTCAGGTGATCCATCCACCTCGGCCTCCCAAAGTGCTGGGATTACAGGCGTGAGGCGCTGCACCCGGCCTGCTTGTTGTTTTCTTCTTCCTAAAGGGAAGAAGAACTCCCCCAAAGCCTGCTTTTTAAATCCTAGCCCTATACTCCCTCCCAAGGAGTTTCAGTTCTAAGAGGTTGTTTAGATTTCACAGTGTAACACAGGAAATCCCGGCATCCCCTTTCTAGAACCTATCAAAAACAGGAGTCCAGAGAAGTCAAATGTGTTCACTACAGAGTGGTCCGAATCTAGCATGTCTCCTCACTGCATAAAGTCATTTATTGTGCCGCAGTTTCCCTGCTTGAAGATGTGGCCCCTCAGGGAGCATTGCAAGGGGATCGGGGATACACGAGCAGCTGGAAAGCCCTTCTCTTTCAACGACTTTACCTTATCGGGTGGCCCCCCTGCAGAGAGGCCTGAGTGGTTCGTGTGCTTTGTCTCATGTGCCGTCACACATTCCCGTCATACAGGAGCAGGTGGTGCTCTTTCCAGCCTTGAAACTGAGAGAAACGAGGCCCGCGAGTAAAGTGCCGCCCCTGCCATCACTTGGCCCTGCCAGTCCCAAATCCAGACTCTCTGACTCCAGCCCAGCCCCAACCTAGGCCACACCACTGTGCTGTGTGCTAATTCTAAGGTCTCTGGGGGAGGCGGGGGGAACTTCTCTACATCATTTGTCCAGTCTCAGCGATTCATTTTGTGACTGGATCCTGAAACCTAAGACTGTCTGGTTTTATAGATAGAAACAATGTCCTAAATGGGATCCTGCTCATTAGGAAGCTTAGTGCCTTGGTGTTGGAAGCACGCCTGGGGCAGAGGCCCAGACTGAGGGCGTGGTATCTTTTTCTCTCCTCCAGCTCTCGTCGGTGCCTGCGGTGGGAACTACTCAGCCATGTCTTCTGTGGTCTATTCCCCTGACTTCCCCGACACCTATGCTACAGGGAGGGTCTGCTACTGGACCATCCGGGTTCCGGGAGCCTCCCGCATCCACTTCAGCTTCCCCCTATTTGACATCAGGGACTCGGCGGACATGGTGGAGCTTCTGGACGGCTACACACACCGTGTCCTAGCCCGCTTCCACGGGAGGAGCCGCCCACCTCTGTCCCTCAATGTCTCTCTGGACTTCGTCATCTTGTATTTCTTCTCTGATCGCATCAATCAGGCCCAGGGATTTGCTGTTTTATACGAAGGTAAGATATCCTCGCCTCCTTGGGGGCTATTCAGGGCCCATGTGCCTTGGGCTTCTGTTCCTCACCCTTGAGATGTGGGCAGTTCCTGATTGGGCCTCAGGAACTACTGACTCCACTTGCAGACCTCCCCCATTTCATAACTCGTTTATGTTTCAACGGACAGAAAAGAGGCGAAAACCTGTCAATTTGGCTATTTTAGTAAGTCTAATGACAGTTTTCACGGGAGGGTTAAAAGAATAAAGAAACAGAATAACTAAAAGGAACAACTGAGATTGGGACAGTTGGAAGGTTCTCAAAAGGTCACCTGGTCCATCCTCCTGCCTCTAAACATCTTAGCTAATTCCAAAAGACTGGCTTGCCATCTTTCTTCAAACCCTGCCAAGGTGGAGCCACTCTCTCTGCCTCTGTAATGTGAACATATGTGTGCTGGGCACATCTCTTTGCCAGGACAAAAGAAACACAGAAGGTGTGTGAGACCTTGTCTTTGTCCTGGATAACAAACCTCAAGAAAAGTTACGGTAGTGTGTGCTCCAGGAGAACCATGGAAAGAGGCCTCCTCTGCAGGTGGGACAGTCTTGAGGAACAGGCAGGATTTGGATCAGTAGGAAAAGAGAACCTTCCAGGCATAGGGAGCCATAGCTGCCAAGTGCAGGGGCAGAGAACCTGGAAAGCACACCCAGGTGTCTGAGATGAGACTAGCCACCAACTGTGAACTTGACAGCTTCACCCTTCTGCCTCCTAAAGGGCAAGAGGCTGACAGGTGCTGTTTTGGCACTGGTAGGACCCACCCATGGAGGGAATTGCACACAGAATGGAGTCAGAGAAGGAGGTCACTCATGCTCTCCTCCTGCACAGCTCTTTGTTGTCTCCATAGCCCTCTCCCCACTTAATTTGTTTTTTTCTTCCAGCTGTCAAGGAAGAACTGCCACAGGAGAGGCCCGCTGTCAACCAGACGGTGGCCGAGGTGATCACAGAGCAGGCCAACCTCAGCATCAGCGCTGCCCGGTCCTCCAAAGTCCTCTATGTCATCACCACCAGCCCCAGCCACCCACCTCAGACTGTCCCAGGTAGCAATTCCTGGGCGCCACCCATAGGGGCTGGAAGCCACAGAGTTGAAGGTAGCGCTCTTGACAGTTATAAAGACAAAAGTACTTAGGTGTTTCTCATTCAAAGGCAGGTTGGGATATTGACTCTGTGACCCATAGTCTGTCCTGGCTTTTGAGGGAAATTTTCTCATTAGCTTGGTTCCTTAGTCCCAAGGAAAAAGTGCTAACCTCCAAAGATTAGGCAAGTGTGCCTTTTGTACATTGCGACTAATCAGCTACTCCTGTATTTTCTCACATTGAGATTATCTTTCTAGAGCCCCACACTGAAACTACCTACATCCATTGGTATTTGCAAGAACTCCATTCATTCACTCACTCACTCATTCAAAAGATATGTATGTGCTTCAGTGGTGCCAGGCAGTGTTCTGGGCGCTGGATTATATAGTGAACCAAACACAATCCATGCCCCTCTGTGGCTTCATATAAATGAAAGGAGAAAGATGGAAAGCAAAATAAAAATCAGATAATGATAACAGCTATGAAGAAAAGCCATGCAGACCAGGCGCATTGGCTCATGCCTATAATCCCAGCAGTTTGGGAGGCCAAGGCAGGAGGATTGCTTGAGGTCAGGAGTTCGAGACCTGCCTGAGCAACATAGGGAGACCCTATCTCTACAAAAAATTAGAAAATCAGCTGGGTGTGGTGGTGTACACTTGTGTTCCCAGCTACTTAGGAGGCTGAGATAGGAGGAGCCCAGGAGTCCAAGAATGCAGTGAGCTATGATTGCACCATTATATTACACTCAAACCTGGGTGACAGAATGAGACCCTGTCTCAAAAAAAAAGAGAAAAGAAAAGAAAAATTAGCTGGGCATAGTGGCACATTCCTATAGTCTCGGCTACTCAGGAGGTTTGCTTGAGCCCAGGAGTTTGAGGATGCAGTGAGTCAAGTAAGTGAGGCCTTTATGAGCTGGTAGAACTGGAAAATACCCTAGTGGTGACCTAGCCTGGAGGCTTTCAAACTGCCCCAGGTCCCTGCAGGACCCACCATAGAAGGTCAGGGGGAAGGGCCTGTCCAGCACTTCCTGTGCTTCATTTGGCTGTTGATCTCAGCAATATCTCATGGGCCACACATCTCATTCCTCGGAGGAGGAAGCCGAGGCCCAAAGAGTTTACATAACTCATCTGTGGTTGCACAGGGGTCCAGTGGCAGAGACAAAATGAATGTCATCCCTTTAGAATCTGAGTCCAGTAGACTTTGGATCATCCTGCCTGCCCCTCTCTGAGAGTGACTGTAGAACAAAGGGAAGTATTCAGAACACCTGGGGCCCCATGCTTATCCTGGCTCTCAGCTGCTCCTGAGGCTGGGTTTGCTGGCTGCCCTCCCACACTGGCCTGCAGGGAGCCCCTCAGCCAGACTTACTCACTTGGGTATTCCAGCAGACCTCCTTTCGAAAACCAACCACAACCAGGTGTGGTAAGCTCTGTCTTTTGCACTTGCAGGATGGACAGTATATGGTCTGGCAACTCTCCTCATCCTCACAGTCACAGCCATTGTAGCAAAGATACTTCTGCACGTCACATTCAAGTGAGTACAAGAGGGAGCTCCCTGATTCCAGGAAGGGGAAGGCTCAGAGTTCATTTTCTATGATGCTTCATTTGTCTGGGTACAACTGTACAATCAGCACATGATTCCAAAGCCTCAGTCCGAGGGAACCGAAGGCAGCAGACATTCCTCCTCCTCTGTAGAGTGAAATGTACAACTGGACAAATCTCATTAAGGTTTGAGGCATTTTGTTTGCTGTGTGTCCAAAGCACACAATTTCAAGGAGGATTGCAACATTCCTGGCTTCAAAAGCAACAATTTTCATTTTTTGGCTTGTGCAGTCCCTTACAGAGATCTTTATGCAAGAGTGAAGATATCTAGGACAATGCCATGCGTACGTCCTGATGCCTTCTAGAAATTGAGAGACATCCTTAGGAAGAGAATTTTCACATTTTATTAACTGTCACTTAGCAGTTATTTTAAAACAGTTACTGAAGAAACTTATGAAACCTTTAACATTCAATTCTGACCAATTTGGGGAAAAAATATATTTCCTTCCCTGATTTTGCTACTTAAGTCTAACAGTTCCAGCTTCCAGGAAAGGGGTAATTGTTCATGCTACTGATGATTGTGTACTTAGAGGGGAGTTCGTTCTAATTTTTCCTAGACCCCCACTCTGTCTTCCTGTGGTTTCTAATCCAGGCTCTTCTCATTTCACAGCATCCTTGAAAATTTATGTCCACTAAAAGCTGTCTTTTTCCTGACTGTCTCACTCGCCCTCTGCTACAGACTTCTTATACATTAAATATGAGCTCTTCCATTGCCTTGTGAAGGCTGCCTTTGGCCACATTGGAACCGCTTTACATAGTCACCTCCACCCTACACTTGAAATTTTTCAGTGGAAATAATGTCCTAATATGTGTGTGTGTGTGTCTGTGTGTATCTATGTCTGTGTCTATGTGTCTGTGTATGTGTGTCTGTGTTTTTTTTCCTGTTTTTAATATGCCATAAATATATTCCTATTCCCCTACCTTGCATTTCCTCCCTTAATTCTGAATACTCCCCACCATCTCTACTTCATATCTTGTAAAAATCCCACACAGACACAGTCTGTGTCCGTGTCTGTGTGTGTGTGTGTGTGTGTGTTTTAAAGTCACAATTCACATGTTCTGGGGAAGCCTCTCAGGCTCAGTCCTGACCACATCCTCTGTGGCAGCAAGAAAGTCCAATGCTTCCTACAGCGTCCAGCATCTGGCAGCATGGCTGAGGCCCTAAAGTGCATGCCTGACTTTCCTCTGACATCAGCTGCAGCTTCCCTGCTAGGCAGTCATGGAGGCTCAACAGAGTCCAGTGCCGGAGGTTAGATGGGTCTCTGCTTGAAGCGGAGAAGTTTTGCCTTTCTCTTGTTTCAGCTAGGTGGAATTCCAGGTACATGGCATTTGAAGATAGTTCTTTTATTTAAAATAAAAGAATTTGAAAATTCATAATCTCTCAGGATGAACTTTTCCAGATTTGAAGAATTCTGCTAGGTAGAAAGTTCTTTGTTATTCTGATGTGGTCTCTGCTCTGCTGTACTTGGCCTCAGCCCCTGATGGCCACAGGCCCCATTTCAGCTGCACGCTAGTCCTTCAGATCTTTAGAGGTAGCTGTGAGGTCTTTCCCAAGACTTTGCCCCACCCCCTTTCATAGGTACAGCATCTCATGAGATGATAGGTTGTTTGGAGTGCTTTGTTCTGACCTGTTGGAAAAATTATTTCTACTTGACAGATCCCATCGTGTTCCTGCTTCAGGGGACCTTAGGGATTGTCATCAACCAGGGACTTCGGGGGAAATCTGGAGCATTTTTTACAAGCCTTCCACTTCGATTTCCATCTTTAAGAAGAAACTCAAGGGTCAGAGTCAACAAGATGACCGCAATCCCCTTGTGAGTGACTAAAAACCCCACTGTGCCTAGGAGTCGAGGTCCCTCCTTGAGCTCAAGGCTGCTGGGGACAACCTCTCCTGTGGTTCTTCTCTGACAGACTCTTCCCCGCCTCTCCCTCTGCCTTGGCCTCTTTGGAGGGCACTCTCCTACAGACCAGGAAGAGGTGCCCTGCTGCCAGGGAAGGCAGAGCCTGGATTCCTCCTGCTTCATCGGTTGCACTTAGGAGAGAGACTCAAGGCCCTGGGGCTCGGCCCTCTCTGCATCTCTCTCTCTGATCTAGCTAGCAATGGGGGTGTCAGGACAGTGAGGCTGAGGTGACAGAGGTGGTCATGGCTGGCACTGGGCTCAGGTACATTCTAGATGGCTGTCAGGTGGTGGATAGGTTTAGTTACATTGAATTTTTCTTGCTTCTTCTCTATTTTGTCCACATACAAATCAGTTTCTCCTGGTCTTTATGGTCTGGAACAGGGCCAGACAGGGAGAACTCTCAGGTACTCTTGGGAGTTGGTCTGGTCCCATGCAAGTGTGGACTCCTTGACATTAGCAAAGTGTAAAGAGGGTGGTGTCTCCGCTGCATCGGCAGCTTTGCTCTCCAGATGCTGGACTAGGAGGGCCTCCTCCAGCCTAGGAGGGTCTGAGAATAAGATCTAGTGACCCCCATTTATATCAAACATGATGCCTTTCACATATGGGCTTCTTCCTAGATTCTTCTTTCCATAGCTCATGGAGCTGCAGAGAAAGCTTGAAGAGCTTTGGTCGTATAAAACATCCACTCATTTACTCATACAACCAATTCTCCTGCAGGCTTTTATGGGCACTCAGTAAGTTTTCAGGATTGGGTTGACTGGCCTTGCCCCTGAGCAGCTCGTAGTCCTTTGGAATCTGAGCCAGGCCTTGGTCTCTCCATGATTGGCTCAGCCAACTCTCAGTTCAGAACAGAAAGTATCAATCTTGTGGTTTTGCCTTTAGGCAATACAATATGAGACATGGGCCCTGCGGTCCTTCCTTCTGGTGTCCCCCATGTTAAAAGATGAAAAACACCCCCAGGGCCATCTGTGCTCTCTGCCCCTTCTATGGGGACCGAGTGGGGTTTGGAATGGCTCAGAAAGGAGAGCGCTCTTGTCCCCAGCCCCATGCCACCCTGTCCCTTAGATAGGGAGGTGAACTGCAGAGATTGGTGCTAGGAAAGTGTGGGTTTGGGAATTGGAGATCCTCCAAGGATCAGCCGTGAGATTGAGAGCTACAGCTGTAGTGGCTGCCAGTTGGGAGAGTAAGTGCCATCGTTAATTTAAAAGTCCTCGCCATCCGGAAGCAGGCTTTGTCAACAGCAGCTGAGGAAAGCAGCCGGTGCCTCTGCTGGCCAGGCCCAGGCCCTCATTAGAACATGCGTCTCCCCAGCGCACTCAGGCCTCAATGCTTGCTGCGCCCCTGGCCTTGGCGTTTCCTCTTTGCAGCACTTTGCCTGCCTCCCCCAAGCCCTGAGCCACTGCCTGCTGGGGCTCCTACTGAGGGTCTGGCAAGACATCTGCACCTGCCACTCCTGGGAGGACAGAGGGCCATAGGGAGAGTGTCCATAGGGAGAGGTGACACTCGCCAGCCTGAGTTCAGGAGAGATGCTCAGAGCTTCAGGTGGAGAGGCCTTCAGAGGAAGGAAACCGGGCAGTGTGTCACAGGCAGGCAGGGGCAGGACTGCCGCCCCAGGCCCCACGGGAGTCCTGCTGAGGGCACAGAGCTGCCCAGTGCAACCTTCATGCTTTGATCTGGAAAAGCAGCTGTCCGCAGGCCTCTGTCTCTAAGAGGCCTGTCTCACAGGAGGGCCTCTGGAAACATACCCACATGTGCAGTCTCCCCGCCAAGCTATTCGTGCTGTTTGTGGAATCTCATCTCAAACACAAGTGTCAGGTGTGTGTCATCCCAGCAGGTCCTGTGCTGTGAATAGATCCATGTGCAGCACAAAGGGAATGTGGCATGTGGCCCCAGGAAGAGGTCACCTGGCCAGGGGGCAGTTGTTCAGTTGCCTAGGGCTGACACCACTGGCCTTTGGGGTTTCCTGCAGCCTGCCTGCCTACCTTGCCCTCCTCACATCTCAGTCAGGGGAGGCCCTGCCCAAGCCAGTGTGCTATCAGAGCCTGCAGCGGGGCGGCACTTCCTCAGAGGGGCTGGGAGGTGCTGGGGATGCCCCAGCACTTCTCTTCCTGCCTGGCCCTGCCATGGCCCAGTGCCTGTAGGATCAACTTACCATCCGTGGAGCAGCCCCGGGAAACCTAAACCTGCCTCAGGACAGGGGGGGAATGGGGGCTACAAATCATCCCAGGCTAAATCTCCATGGGCACTGGGTCCTGCCGCAGTCTGGCCATGGCCTCAGTTAGAACCAGTTAGAAAGTCATCAACACCCCGCAGAAGGCCACTGCGGCTAAGTAAGCACCTGAGAAAGAAACTATACCAGAAGAGATGATGTGGGCTTCCAGGAGCACGGAGAAGGTGGCACTTGAACTTTTAGGAAACTCCCTAGATGAGATAAAGTAGCGGTTGAAGGTGGCGGGAAGAGGGTAACCCTGGGAAAGTAAATGTCAGAACACATGGCAGAAACCTGTGGGAGAGGCAGGGGAAGGGCTTTGGGGACCACTGTAGATGGAGCTCTGAAAGCACCCTGCCCAAAGCCTCTCCTGAGGTGACAGAGCATGGGAGGAGGCTGCAGGGGCACTGGGCCTGCATGCCATCCTCACCCCTGTTCCCCACTGGCGCCAGGCCCTGGCTTCTTGGCACGTGTGCCCTCACCGGCCAATCTTGTCACTCCCCATGGTTACTGTGTCTCAGCCGGCTGTGGCCCCTAGTTTGTAGCAGCATTTCTCAGTGTTCTTGGCCCTTCTGAGAAGGCAGGCAGGAGGCACACAGTGCCCTCTTCCTCCCCATTTGTGCAGTCGCTTGCAAAGCAGAGAATGAGTAGGAATGAACCCAAGTGCCTTCACCCACCCTGTCCCCCACATCAGGAAAGGCTTGAGGCCTCTCTGGGTGTGAGCGAGGAAACCAGGCTGCTCTAACTTCAGAAGAGTGGGCTCTAGCTCAAGACTCCAATCGGCCAGAAGCCCAGAGATCAAAGCACTTGTAAGTTCAGCTGTCCTGGCCCTCGGGCAGAACCCACGGGTGTGCCTGGGTGTGGCTCCACCCACATGCCCCACTGTCAGCCCAGGCAGGAGCCCTCCTCCAGGCCATCACCCAGCCCCAATGCATCCCAGCATTGCACACTTACTCTTCACAAGCACTTATATGCCGATGGCCTCTGAGACCCTGCCTCACGGGTCTGCTGAGACCAGGCCAGGTCTGCAACGGAGCCAGGCAGCTCCCCACCCCACCACCCAGTCACCTGGCACCATTAGGTTTCAGATCTCCCGTGTGGTGTTTGATGTCGGCTTTTGTTCCTACCTTGGGAGTTTGGATTGTTTCCTCTGGTGTCTTTGTTTACCTTCCTCACTGTTCTACCTCCTGGCCAGGTCTCAGCTTAGCTTCCCTGGTATGGGGTGTTTTTCAAGCCTTCCAACCACAGCTATCTCCCTCAGGCTGGATGGCTCAGGGGTGACAGGACTTCACCCTCTGCCTGCAGACCCCTGGTAGGCACATCTCACAGGCTTTCGTCTTGCTGAGCTGGATATGGAGGCAGAAGTGGGGCGTGGAGGACAGTCAGAGGGAAATCTGTTTCAGAAAGGAAGGGTCTTTAGACACACAGACTGGGGGGCCCTTCCCCACCTGTGGGGAGCTGCCATCCGTGGGGCTCATGCACGTCAAGACCTTCCCACATCCAAACTCACCTTCCAGCAGGGATTTTGACTTTGGATGACAAGGCTTTATTTGTAAATATGCTCTTAATATGCAACTTTGAGAATAAAATAGAAACATCATGTATTTTAAAATATAAGATGAAGTGTGACGCACTGTATACAATTTAATATATATTTTTAGGATTTTGTTATTTAAGAAAGTGGAATGTAATGGTACTTTTACAAAAGAGAAAAAAATGTTATTTTTACTGTCTGGAAAAAAAATAAATATTCTCATTGTTGTAGAAACAGTGATGGGCCCTACGTTGTCATTTCCCTGGGAGTTCCCCAGAGACTGTGGGACGAGAGGAGGGTGTCTGTGGTGGGATTCTTACCTTTCCTCAAGTACCAGCTCACCGTTTGCTCACTTTTTCCTAAGTGCCTCCAAATTTCTTCTAGTCTTGTCATGGCTTTGACCCAGAGCTGACCTTCAGCTGGGAAGACCTGAAAGATGAGGAATTCCAAACCGGTGCACAGCAGCGCAGAGCCGAGGAGTGCCGGGGCAGGGGAGTGCTCTGCCCCCAAAAGATCTGGGCTCAGGCCAGCCTGGAGCCAGTCACTCTCCTCCTCAGCCTCAGCCTCCCCATCTGGAAAGAGGAATGGAATCTATTCTTCAGGAGGCTATGGACATGCTTATGTAATTTTTACCCCAGGTGGAATTTACCTTGCCTCTCAGAGCATCCAGTTCCTCCTCTCCACCCCTTCTTACCATATCTTTTCATTTTTAGTAAGACTACTAGAAGCTCCATGTATGAGCCACCCACCATGCACCAGGCACTCCACCTCAGGCACTGTGCACATCCTCCAGTTCTTCGCCACAGGTATCACTTTCCCTCTTTTGCAGATGAGACAGGTGAGGTTTGGAGAAGCCATGGGGGATGGTAGCTGGGAGCACAGCCCTGGAGTCAGCCCTCCAGGACTCAGCTTCCTCCATTGATTCTCTGTGAGGCCATCGAGGGTGAAACAGGGAGCCTTTGAAGGGTTTCAGCGGAGGAGTGACATCAGAGTCCCAGTTTAGAAAGCTCTCCTCCTTGCATCTGGGGAAACAGATCAGAGTGGGGTAAGACCGAGGGCAAGGAAACCAGTCAGGAGACTCTACAGGCCCAGCCAGGAGATGCTGAGAGCATGCTTGGACCCCCAGGCCAGTGCCGTGGAGAGAGAAGCTGGGGCACGTTTGTGGGGCTGGGTAGCTCAGGCTCACATCCCAACTCCACCGCTCACCATGTGACCTGGGGCGAGTAACGCGACCCTGTGTACCTGTTTTCTCACCTGTCAAATGGGAGCAGTTACAGTACCTGCCTTTATGTGGCATTGGGCTATGAATTATTATTACCTGCAGTATGTTTTCTATCAAAGGTAGATGGTCCTTTCATTCTAGAATAGAGGTGGGGGGTAAGAAGGAGGAGGTGTCTGGGATGGTGCTCGGGTATCCTAACATGGGTTTCTGAGTGGAGACAGGGGCCATTCTTTGACATAAGGGACGTAAATGGCCCCAGGTATGAGAAGAAACCTAACGAGCTACTTCTGGGGGCTAAGTCCACTGCAGTCCCTGTGGGACACTGAGGCAGAGCTGTTTGGCAGGTGTTGGAGAGACAGCCTGAACCCCAACCCATGGGAACATGAGCACAGGTGGCATCCTCAGGGTAAGTGTTGGGGCCACCCCTCAGAAGGCTGCGGGGGACAGTGTCCTGGGATGCACTGAGGCAGTGAGGGAGCGCCTGGCAGGACCAGGGTGGGCAGGGTAAGACAGGAGATGGGGACTTGCCTGGAAGCCAAAGAACCCACGAGCAAAGCTACTTTTTTTTTTTTTTTTTTTTGAGACAGAGTTTTGCTCTTGTCACCCAGGCTGGAGTGCAGTGGCACAATCGTGGTTCACTGCAACCTCCACCTCCTGGGTTCAAGCAATTCTCCTGCCTTAGCCTCCTGAGTAGCTGGGACTACAGGCGCCTGCCACCACGCCCAGCTAATTTTTGTATTTTTAGTAGAGACAGGGTTTCACCATGTTGGCCAGGCAGGTCTCCAACTCCTGACCTTAGGTGATCTGCCGACCTTGGTCTCCCAAAGTACTAGGATTACAGATGTGAGCCACCTCGCCTGGCAAAGCTTCTAACCTGACCAACACACACAAACTGCTGGCGCTTCGAGTCCCAGTTCCAGATTCTCAGGAGACAGTTTAGCCAGGTGGTCTCCCTCATCTAGCCAGTTTTTGCTAGGATAGGGTTCTCGGAGAAAAGAAAGGCACAGGCCAGTCCCACTAAAGAATATCACCACTGCCATAGATGCAGACGTGGCTCTCGGTGTGATGCATTTGAACACTTGCCTGGGAATCCCTACGTGATCTATTAAACTGCAGGTCCCTGGGCCCCACCCCAGTCAGAATCCCTGGAAGCATGGCCTCGACATGGAGTCTGCGCCCTTCATTTCACCACTGTCCCCAGCCCTGGCTAACTTCTGCCCCCACCCCGAACACAGCTGCAGCTGTTGCAATGTGATGGCACCTTTAAAGGTCAGCCGCACTTCAGTGTTTATCTTCATGGGGCTTTCCTTCTCTCTCCCAGAAGCTCTTTCCTTCCATGAAGGAAAATATTTGTAATGGCAGGAAATGGCTGGTGGAAAACAAACGGGGTGGCCTTGCTAGTGAATTTCCTAGAGACAAATTAGGCTTTAGGCTGCCACAGAAAAATAAATAAATGCAGCCAGAACATGCAACTGTCCCACCTAAAGAACCCGTTTAGGGTGATGGGACAATGAGGACAGGATGAGACCCCCAAACACATTTGAGTGGACTCTGGGGACCACTGACCTGGACCTGTGTTCTGAACCTGAGAGATGCAGATATTGGAGAGCCCGCCAGTCCGGGAGCCGGCACCAGGGCAGCACCAGCCCATCCTTTGTCAGGCACTCAAAAGCTTTTCTTCCTGTGAAGAGGAAAAGCACTGGACAAGGGTGACCTTGTCTCCAAACTTGGAAGTCACATGACCATCTTCTCTCCCCTCTGGGCCATGCGTGCCTGAAACTGCAGACAGTCTCTGGGGCTCAGAGAACTGGGAAGCTTTTGTTCCTCTGTGCCGAGGTCGGGTCCCGATGGGGGATTGTTTTTGCTCAGCTGAAAGGGACACTTTTAGGAATAGAATATTTCAACCTCAAGAAGCAGCAACATTTGCTTGTAGCTGGAAGTCTTCATTTCTGGTCTCCAGCTGTTGTCTGGAGCCACCAGGCCTCAGCTGAATGGGCCAATGCCCAGCAGCTGGGGGCGGGCAGTGCCTGCTGGGCTGGACAGGAACCAGTCTGTGTGCAGGACGCCCATCTCCAGGACAGCCTGGCTGCAAGGACACCCTGTACCCTCCCGATGGTGGTTGCTGGGCTTTGGAATAAACCCGTTAGCTCTGGGTGACTGGGCTGGGAAAAGGGGCTCCGCAAGAAGCGTTTCAGGGGGAAAGTAGACCTAAGCTTGAGCTCCAGAGTAACCCCTCCGAGGGAAACACCAAACGCTCCGAAACAGCCAAGGCTCTTGCAATAGTGAAGCTGCAGATCCCATTTATTTCACTCTTAATACCATTGTCTCTGTTCAAATGAGGTCACTGAACTACTAAAAACATCACTGAGAGACCTGCTTCTTTGCATATTGATTATGTGAATGCTTAGTGGACTTGCCTTAGTTGCTAGCACCAAAGATACAGATTAAGAACCCTCAAGGGGTATTCAGACCTCAAATTCAGCCAAATACAGAGGCAGCTTTTTCTGAGTCTGAGTGAGCTGAGGAAAGCACTTTTGAATGTGCGAGGATAATAAGATTAATAACCACTCCCATCTCTATAGTACCTATCGTGTACCAGACGCTGTGCCAAGTGACCAACAGACATTACCAAATTCATCTTTGCAGCAACCCAACAGGGAAACCGAGGGTCAGAGAAGGGGTCCAGCCAGGGGAGGACAAGGTTTGGACTCAGCCTGGGACCACTGGCTCCAAAGCTGGGCGTTCTCACTCCTGTTGAACTTCAGGCCCCTCAACACAGGCAGTGGGTGGGCCCCCAAATAGCTCATCTTTAAGGATGTGGCCTCCAGACAGCCCAGGGAAAGTGCAGATCTATTTGCCTAGGTCAAGGAAGGAATCAAACCTACACTTCTTTACCTATTTGATGACACAATCCCCTTTGAGGACTAGGGGTTGGAATGGAGCCTCTTCCCTGAAGAAAGGCTCCATCTGCCAAACTGCAGAGGTCCACTCTGCACTCCCGAAACCCTTCCATGGATCTCAGGTTTAGAATCTCTCTATTAAGGCATGAGCATGATTATTTGAAAGTTTAAATGAGGCCAAAAGGGATAACAGTAGCAGTAATAATACTACTAACAGGATACATTTTACTGACCACTTATGTCAGGAGTCAGCAAACATTCTCTGTAAAAGGCTAAATACTAAATATTTTAGACTTTGCACGCCCTATAGTCTCAGATCCATTGACCAGAACCACAGGCCCCACATTGACCCTCAATGACTCCAACAAGCCCTGGAGCCATCAGGGCAACTCCCTGAGGAGTGGGGGATAAGGGGCTGCCAAGCTCCCTTGCTTATTAGCCACAGACAATATGTAAACAAATGGGCGCGGTTGTGTTCCCATAAAACTTCACGAACACCAAAACTTGAAGTTTATATAATGTTCACATGTCACGAAATGCTACAAAATGCTATTCTTTTGATTTTTTTTCCCCAAAATTAAAAAATGTAAAAAAACAGCCAGGCGTGATGTCTCATGCCTGTAATCCCAGCACTTTGGAAGGCCTTGGTAGGTGGATCACTTGAGGTCAGGAGTTTGAGACTAGCCTGGCTAATATGGTAAAACCCCATCTCTACTAAAAATACAAAAATTTCCTGGGCGTGGTGGTAGATTCCTGTAATCCCAGCTACTTGGGAGTCTGAGGCAGGGGAATGGCTTGAACCCGGGAGGTGGAGGTTGCAGTGAGCCAACATTGTGCCATTGCACTCCAACCTGGGTGACAGAGCAAGACTGTCTAAAAAAAAAAGCCATAGAGTCAGAACTTGAGCCCACTCCAAAGCCTGTTTGCTTTCCTAAGTGACAAGATGGGTGCATTTAAATTGTGGAGGAAGAGAAGGTGACAGTGAAGCAGGAAGGAAGACCCAGAGCAAGGGCAGTCCTGTGGGCCCTGGGAATGTAAGGCAGAGAGGCTCCGTCCTGCTGAATGGTCTACGCTGCAGGGGAGGGTGGCTGGTTTCCTGAGCCATCCCTCCAAC